TTCCCAATAACATTATGTTATGTTCGTCACTTGGTACGCGTGAAGATATTACGAGTTCACCTTATTCGATAAATGCGAACGAGACAATTACCAGCATCCAGATAGGCTACCTTAAATCCCAAGATGAAGACTAAAGGCTTTGTAAGCGTAAAAAGTATATTCTACAAACACCCAGCAATCAAAGTACAATCAAGCACACAATTCTCGGTTATTTATGCAACATAGGAACGTCCTTGAGACATTTAAGAAAATAGTACACTAAAATACACAGCAGCCAATCACAGCCATGGATTTTCCGGTTGGGAATTGAAATCTCAAGGTCATCTGATCAGCCCATGCTGGCAAAACGTGAGAACCAAAATACGGCATTATCAAGCGAATTTTGGGGATCTAACATCCCCAACAATAACTCAAATCACTCACAATTAAACTGAATGAAAGTAATAACAAGTGATTGATCATTTAAATTCTTAAAACTTCAATTTTTGATAAATTTATAACCACAAATTAGTTAGCATTGCAGATGATCAGTGTTTTGCGAAATATTTGACTTTTTGATTATTGAATCTACGCAAGGTTGTACAGTCTGTTTCCTCCAGACTTACTTATTTCTTGATATTTAATGTCAATAACATTTAAATATTGTAAAGTTACATATCAACACTGTTCAATGATCAGGAGTTCGACTGTTCACCATCCAGAGTGAAGATTGTGGGTTCGATTCCTTCAACCGGGGTGATAATTGCTTACTATAAATTAGTCCAACACTAGAATGAAATGAATGTTCAGTGCTTACAGGATTCTAATGATGGTCTTACACTGATCGATTCATGATTTTAATGAAACTCAACAATTTTTTGATATTCTATCATGACAAATTTTAAAGCGGTTAAAGCAGTTCTTTCGTTTTGTCTCATTCATGATTTGAACTTCAAACACAACTGACGTTTTCACGATTTAATCAATGAAAAATGAAAAATATCAAAAAATTATTTACATATGTAAATTTTAAGGGAAGAGTTATATTACTTAATTACTTGTTTATTTACGCCTGTTACCGCCATAGGAGCATAGGCCGCTGACCAGTAAAATCCAACGACTCTGTTCCCATTTCAGTTCTGTTCAGTTTTCGTTTATTATTCTCATGTCTGTCTCCATTTCTCGGCGTTATGTGTCGTTCGGTCTTCCCCTTTTCTTTTAACATTGTGGGCTCAAACTGCGGGTTTGTCATGATACGCAATTGGTTGCTTTCCGCAATATATATCCTATCCACTTCCAGCGCTTCTTCCTGAATTCCTCCTCCTCTGGAAGCTATAACCAAATCGAACTGAAATTTCATTCTACAAATACAATTGTATTATCGAATTCAATACTATTGAAAGTTTGCTGATATTGCAAAGTAAGTGTACAGATGATTTTATCAACTAATTAGTCTGATGCGAATCCATCCGGAAATATTTTTGGAGAGCATCATCTACTCTTGTCTTTCGACTCTAACCTTGAATAAGTTCAGAATGGAAAGTTCATTTGTAATTATCAAAACTAGATAGAAAGCTTGTCAAACTGTCAATTATACAAATACATCCACACAGAATTGATAATTGAATTACTATAAACACAATATTTTTACAAGAAAGTTTCAGAATAGATATGATCAGCATAATCAAAATGATAATAGGCTGATTAAACTGCAAGACTATGCATGGAAGACAGCTCAAATAATCATTCAAAGTGAAAAAACGGTGTCAAACACGATTGCTCACTGTCGCCCTTTCTCTTTCGGCTGATGGTTGACTGGATAATGAGAATATCTCAGTAGAAGAAAGGAATATAGTGGATAGCTCGGATACAGCTGGACGATTTGGACTTTGCAGATGATCTAGCTCCTATATCCCATGGGCAACTAAAATGCAGAAGACGATCGGTGTAGAAAAAGCCTTCGCAGCAATATGTCTCAGCATAAACAGGGGAAAAAAGCAACAGTCTCCGATACAACATGACACTCACCAACCATATCACAGTTGACGGAGACGATTTAGCAGATGCGGAATTCCTCGCATACCTGTGCAGCATCACAGATAAATAAAATCGATTCAATGCAGACATGAAGTTCAACAAAGCAACAACAAGTGAACATCATCTGGAAGTCAAAACAACTGTCAAACAACACCAAAGTCCGAATATTCAGTACAAGAGTCAAACCAGTTTTATTGTATTGAGAGGAAATTCGGACAACTACAAAGGCCATTATTGACAAGACACACATGTTTATTGATAGTTAACTTCACAAAATACTGCATAGCTGTTGGTCAGACAACATCAGCAACAAACGAATGCGGCAGGGAACAAACTCGCTTCCTCCATCTGATAAAGAAATCAAGAAGAAGCCCCGGAAGCGAATAGGGCACAGATTGAAGAAAGCACCCACTGGCATCACAAAGCAAGTCCTAGCTTGAAATTAGCTAGGCCAAAGAAAAAGAGACAGACCAAGGAACACATTACTCCGCGAATTGGAGGCAGACATGAAGAGGATGAACAGTAATTGGGAAGAACTGAAAAGGAAGGCTCAAGAGAGAGTAGGTTGGAGAATATTGATCGGCGGCCTATGCTCCCTAGAGGGTAACAGGCGTAATTAATTAAAATAATAAGTAATATTCTCAACTTCTAACTTCATTTTTACCGAATGATTAATTTAAATAAACAAATTTGCCTTTATTCTGTTCCTAATTTCAAGTTAAATTTTCATTATTCACCTATCAATAATCTCGAGTCATTTGAATTAGATGATGTTACTATTTACGTTACTCCAAGAATCAATGTTCCGCCCGATTTTAATATGACCGATATATTAACGAATCGACCAGATACTACGTAAGTAGACGAGAATTTTAGTTTACTTTTGTATCGTGTGACATCTGACATAACTGGTGAAATATAATCCCTTGTAGTGAATTCACAACTCCATAATCTAATGAACTGCGATTACCTAGTTACTTACTTAATTACTTGCCTACGTATACACCTACTTACTTACTTGCTTACTTACTTACTTACTTACTTACTTATGCACTTATGCACTTACTTACTTACAAAAAAAGTCCACCATGACTTCAACGAAACTAAACAATCTCCACAACTTGACGTTGACAGTTGTCATGTACTTAATGGTGACTAGCTTCTTGAGCATATTCTCGGATTTCTAGTGAGAAGCCATGACCAGTGAAGTTCCGTTCTGTCGAGTGCGAGACTTCGACTTACACACTGAAGACAATGGATAAGGTCGCGCAATATTGTGAATTGATTGCAGTCAGACATTAACATCACTGAATTTCGATACAGTGGTCAGGAGGTTAGGCGTTCGGGCACACAGTCGAAAATCTTTGTTTCTGTTCCCACATTTGGAGTCATGAATGCATACTGCTGGTGAGTTCCATACTAGTACGAAACGTTTGTCCAGTGCAATCTGAAATCATGAAGCACTGAACAGTATTTACCGACGGATATCAGTAAATGAGGAGTGCGATTATTTTAGATAGATGGAATTTGAAAGTGTAAAATCCTTGAATTCTAACTTATATGTCACATTGATCAATAAGGGTTGGGAAATTTATGTGTTCTAAGCTCCATTCCTTGTGACTCACTTCTTGACTTAAAATATTGATATAATGTAGTTCTGTTTGGTAAAGAGAGGTTGAAAAAGTACGATGAGACCATTTAAACTGATGCAAACATGTACCAACCAGGTTTTAAGCTTTGTATTACTGACGAACTGACCATACCCTCTGTTATCTTGAATGTATAATCTTGAAAACTTTCTGATTTTCCAAATTACCCAACCTACTTTTAATTAATAATAAATTCTATCCTTATTTCTTTGTTTAATCTTTATTTTCCTAGGATTGCTAAAAATCAAACTGAGAAAGCTTAAATGGATTAGCAATATTTTCAAAACAATGCACCGAAAAATCTATATCTTGTCACTACAGATAATGGTTGGAAAGATCCACGAGCTACACCGACAACAATTAATCCGTATAAACCTGAATTGAACATATACACAGATAAGAATTTAGAAAATGTAAATCCATTTATTCATGTTTATATATATTTATAAAGTTGCAACATAACCGTCAAATTAAATAACCCATTATCATAAACAGTATGTTGGTGGTTGTAGGAAGTTGTCAGGAGATAATGTTTTGCACTATTTACCACTCGTTTTTAAACAGGTGCGCATATCCAAATTAGTTCAGTGAACACATTGAGTAGATCGACAAAATTATCGGTAGTGGGTTTATTTGATAAGTCAGTCAGTCAGTCAGTTAAAACGCAGAATTTCGTGCGTAAGTACATCAGTTCACATGTTCTCATACCACGTTAGAACAGAGACTCAACAGTCAATTCAAATCACATAGTGGTATAGATAGTAGAAGTATTAGGAGCAATGGAGAAGATTAGGGTTCGAAGATATTATTCAAGAAGTATAATTCAGTGAGATAAGTTTAGTAAGACAAAGGTAGAGGTGTTCACGAATCCAGAAGATTAGGATTTGAGAGAACACATGGAGAGGATGCACCTGTGTCATTGCAAACGATTTTGAGCCATGTCATTCAAGGTCTCTAACCAATGGTAAATTTCGTCTCGCGGACCCCAACCAGGTAGCCTACATCTATCAACATGACTCAGTTTACTTCTCAGTGATTTGATAAGTGAACATGTTGAAACACAACGGGATCATAAACATTGATTCGTCCTTTAATAGTTAGATTCTTCCAATAAATTAGACAGTGATAAGTGATGTACGAGCGTATCTAACCGAATTATATCCTCCTTCCAATACTTAAAAATACTAATTTTGTACTTAAAAGACTGATTAGTATTACTGTAATAACAATTCTGTGCTCTAACATGTTATTATCTTTCATTCTCCATCTCCTCTTCATCATATACCCTAAACTATTATCACCCTCTATGATGAATTGTTTTTCTGGTCAGCGTTTTTTAATTTGATTCTTTATAAAGGGTGTTGACCACGAGAAAGCATTCAGCAGCGTGCACAGGACAACACTGTGGAGGCTTTTTCGACATTACGGTTTGTCTGAGAAGATAGTTAACAGCGTACGGAATTCTTATAATGAATTAAGCTAAATAGAGAACAGCTGACAGACTCATTGCAGGTAAAGACCGATGGCATACAATGTTGCCTACTTACACCCTTTCTCTTTCATCTGGTGGTTGACTGGATTATAAAGACATCAACATCTCAGGGGGGGCATAGTATACAGCGGAGAGCTAGGATGCAGCTGCATGATCTAGACATCTCAGATGTCCTGGCTCTTCTACCGCACACGCGACAACAGTGAAAAAGTCAGTGACTGTGAAGGAGAAAGATCGGTCACGTGGGTTAAAAGGCAGGATCAAACTACTGAACTTTTATTGCTCACTTGCATCCAGTATTCGAAGTGGCAGTCAAACATTCCAAGCATCAGTTTTATTTGCTAAAACAAATTAAAACAGGTCTTCATTAGGACAGAACTATGTTTCAAACGGAAGCTCAACAATACTATTTGCGAGGCAGTCTATCGAAGGTGCTGTGTTCAAACTGGTCATGCGTGTATGTGAGAGAGGCAAAATCTTAGTCTCTGTCAAGTGCATTAATTTCAGCTGCTGCTCAAGTGATTATTCACGTCTAGGATGCTTATTACTCTGAAAATTACCGTCGGTGACAAGTATCTAGCTCCATAATCGCAATCAGCGTCAATCATTTAGTGAGACGATAGGGTTATCTAGTAGAACTGATTAAAAAATGGAACAAGATAGAATAGGCAAGAAAAAGAGTAAGCAAAATATACCGAAGGCAAACTGAAAATAATATAACTCGAAAATATCGACTCCAGATTAATAATGAATAAAAAAATACATAAATGATTCGATTATTCATAAGCATTTTCGTTCATGAAATCCAGAGAAAATGAAAGACCTCAAAATCATATACATTATTAAACAGTGCTCAATCATAATTTTCGTAATTTCGCACATGACGAATTGCAAGGGAACATGAATATTGTGTTGTTGTCCGCTGTTTGAACATTCCATCCACGGAATAGAAGTTGTCATGCAATCTGAAAGGTATCCAGTCGCAGTTGTTAGATGAAAATAGTTTTTTATCGTCATCTGTTTGTCAACAAAAATATAACTTACTCGCATTAGGTATTCAAGAAAATCATCATCCGAGATTTACTGCAACGTTCAATCAACTCAGTCGCTTGAGTTCGGATAGAAAACGAGTTCACCACGCAGGCGCTTAGAACTCATGGATGCAACACGCTTTAAACAAAATAAAGATCCATTTACCGTGGCATGAATAAGATGACCGACAGTATCAGTTGATCGGAATGGACATCACGTTTCATTGTCGATGAATGAAGTTCACTCTCGGTTTTTCAAACAGATATTGCTGCCGTGAAGAAGAACGCAACGTGTATGCAACTAACAGAAATAGTTGAGTACATTCAAGGAAAAGAATCATGTGAAAGGAATCAAGCTTTTATCGATCGGTTATTCCGAATGTGGATTGGAGTGTCTTGAAAACTACTGCTTTGTCCATGCAAAGTTGTCTCGTTTCTCCTCCGCCCGCAGCTTTCCCTGCTGTCATTGACAAAACCTTCATATATTTCCGATTGTGTGCCTGCTGAGATCCGCTTTCTTTGCCTTCGACATGTTTACTGTATCCTGTGATTTGACGTCATAATAGAACGGTCAACTTCTAATTAAAATTTTCACATTCATTTTCACGAAATCAATTGAATCAATGGAGTTCTCGCTACAAGTTGGAACTGAGATTGATGAAATTCAAAGCAATAACGAAAAGGATTACAGTTGAGAGATGAAAATTTACATCAACTAAATGTACACTGATTCATCTTACTACTATTTTAAATCACAGTTTCATTTCATCAGGAAAAATTTATTAAATACAGACTTCCTGCTTAAGGTTGTTCAGTGAATAATAACAAACGGTAAAATGAAACGGACTAATTCAATGAAAATTATCAATCAACATGGACATATTCAGAAAACGGATATTTTCAGATTTGGATGTGTGTTATTTGATCTAATTTCGCCTACTGGCTTAGTGATACAGTGTGCTGCGTTCGTATTCCAGACATTGTGTACATGTAGGAATGAGACTTCAAATCCGGATGGTCTTCTGTATTTCAGTGTTTGTTAGTTCTGTGATATTCACTCTCAAAATATGTGTGTAGGTGACTGACAATGGTCTGCACAACTCAACTCGCAGAAACAAAGGAAAATCACGGGCCTCTAAAATCGCTCTCAATGCTTTTAGTCACGACATTTCGTACTCACTACTGTTTCGTTGTTTGACTGTAGAAACCGCAACGTGATGATGTTAATCAGTAGATATATACAAGTAAGGGAATGGAAGATGAGATTTCAGACAGTAACGTTTCCTGCTTCTACCTCGTTTGTTGACGGACGATGTGCAATGATACTCACCCATCAATCCAAATCTATTATTAAAGAAGCAGTTGACCAGACGTTGTTCTGTTGCTTACTGTCAGCCTGTGGAAAATTCACTCCAGTGAACCTTGATTTTGGAAACCGTTAGAAGTCAGTTACGCGCCTTGCACAGTCATATTTCAAAACACATTTTCTGTGTAAAAAGGGTTCTATTATCAATCAAAAAAAGAAATATAGACAATTCACTACACGATATTAAAAATGTGATGTATTTGCGCTATACATTTCGAACAATCTGGTCACACATATTTACTTGTGAAGGCATTTTATATGAAGATGAATAAAAGGTCAATTGTTCGAAATGTATAGCGCAAATACATCACATTTTT